TTGTGAAACTAGCAGGATGGATCCCCTTTTCCCTTTTCCGGGGCTCTAATACAGACGATCACGCTAAGTGCTCACTCTTTATAACATCTTGCAGTGAACGGAATGCCGCCTCTTCTGGTAACAAACGATGACTTCTCCACCTTTAGAAGCATTTCCCCCATTTAGGACAGCGCACGCACTGCACAGCGTCCAGAATGCTTGCTTGTATGCAAAAGGGCTTTGCGTGGATTTTTGTGTTCATCTCGGGAAGTGCAGAAGCCCTGGTGTTGCAAATGGGCTGGACCTCACCCATAGACTACCCTCCACGGAAATATTAGTTTCCAGTGGCACAGGCTTGCCTCGTCTAAAGCTCTTAGGATAGTAATCCAGAGCAGTGGCGGTTTCCTGGGAAGACTTCATCTTCTCACGGATGATGGTGTAAAGAACTGTTGTGTGTTTCACATCAGCCTCTCAGGTTCAAAGGTATGACGTTAGCACACCTGCGTGGGCTGCCTTCACAAATCACCTAACTTGGGAGAGGGCTGCTATAAAGTATCAGTCATGAATGCTGGGTGTTTCTCACTTCTGAAGCTCAGAAACTCTGCCAGTAGTTTGAGGGGTAGGCATCTGAGCCACCCCCTGCTGTTGAGGACTCAACCCCTCTCCACGCCTGTATCCTTTCTGTGACCTCTCCTCACTGCATTATCTAAAAGCGTTTGGAGTTTCTTTCTCAAGGTATTGCTGGCTATTTAACTTGTTTTGTCTTTGACACTATGATAACTTTTGAGTATATGAAATGGTTTTTTAAAAAAAAGAAAAGGATTGGCTATTTATCATATCCATTCATTGCTTCATTCAACAAATACCTATGACCTGGTGTGCACAGTGGTGAACATGACATTCTGGATCTTACAGGATGGAACACAAATAAATGTCATCCATCAATGGATGGGGTCAGCCAGTTGTCAAGAGCTGAGGGCCAGATTAGTCAGTATGCTTGGGTTCCCTCGCTAACTGGCTCAGAGCACCTGGTTACAAAGGTAGAGAGCGTCCGTATTCTCCCCAGCGAGTCATCATGGGTTGCCTTTGAGGTCAGATTGTGCACACTGACTTGCTTCATAATAAGGAAAAACGCCTACAGTCTTTTTGTAACTCTGAATAACATTGGCATTTTTATAAGCATTGCAATCATACTATAAGCATAAATGCCTCATTAAAGAAGAGTGAAAGGATGGGTATTTCTTTAAGGATATGAAATTATGACTGATTCATAAATAAGTATACATTTAAGAAATATGTCATCTAGGCTTTTCTTATGGATGGTGGATGTACATTGTTGTAGACTCAGTTTAATTTCATGTTCACATTAAAATAAACATGATTTTATCAAAGGTCTGTCTTTTGAAAAATTGAATTTAAATTATGTGGCTCGGATCATTAAATACTTGGCATGACAGTTGCTTTTTAAAATCATTTTGGAGCTCCCATACGAAGAAATCACAGTCCAACAGATTTTGAAATCAACGTAAGGATTTTATTTAAGGGCCAAAGGGAGACCATACCAGTGGAGGATTTGTTATAAGTCTGGGTCATAATTGATTTGATTAACCCACTTAAGCTGTGACCAAGTTTTTGCTGTCAGGATGCTGCAGTGAATATTTCTGTGAGCACATTTTTGTGGCTCTGTGCAAGTGTGTGTGTTGCATTAGTGCCTGAAGTTGGCTTTGTGAGGAAAAAAAGCATGTGTATATTTAATTTTTATGGACACTGCCCAGTCATCCCCCATAGAGGTGCAAATTCATGATACCCCCCAGCGATGTCAGATCTGTTTCCTCACTGCGGTGCAAACTTTCTGATTGGTGCCAATCTGTAGGTTGAAAATGGTATCAAATCAACTGTGTTTACATTGCATTTCTCTTAACACAAATGAGGTTGAGAATCTGTGTAGGGGGGGGACCCATTTGCATTCCATTTCTGGGGGAAATGAATGTGCGTTTTGCCTGTGTTATCGGTCCTATCCTTATTGATTTATAGGAACTCTTTACATATTAAAGTTATGACTGTGAAGTAAGTAGCAAATACTCTTTTTCACTTTATCCTTCACCTTTTAACTCTGAAGTGATATTTTCCCCCATTCATTTTTATTATTTTTGCACAGTGAAGTTAGTTAATGGTTTCTGGGCTTGCTGTCATACTTGTAACACTTTTGTGGGGTTTTTTACATTAAAATATTTGATCCCCTAGGAATGCGTTTCTGTAAAGGGAATGAGGAAGAGATTCCTTGGTATTTAGTTTTTTAAAAACCGCCATGGGATAATCGCATTATTCCCAAACCATTTATTGAATAATCCATGTTTTCCCACTGATTTGAAATGCAGTTTACATCATCCACTAAATTTCTGGACCTCCCAGGGCAAGAAGTATTTCTTTATTTTTTTCTGTCCTATGGGATCCTTTACAGAAAAAGGTTGGTAACACCTGCTTGAATGCATAAAATACCTGTACTTCTAACTGCGTCTTGCAGGTGTCAGGCATGGTGGAGCAGGTAGTGGCCAGTTATAATATGAAAAAACAGTTATAATAAAAACAGTAGAGTTTTAATTATTTTGCTGCCATAACAAAATACCACAAACTGGGTGGTTTAAAGAAGAGACATATATTCTCTCCCAGTCCTGGAGGCTGGAATCTGAGATCCAGGTGTGGGCAGAGCTGGTCCCTCCTGAGGCCTCTCCCCTGGGCGTGTAGACGGCCGTCTCCTCCCTGTGTCCTCACTCGGTGGAGACTTGTCTGGTGTCTCTTCTTACAAGGACGCTAATCCCATCACGGGGGCCCCACCCTCATGGCCTTATCTAACCCTAATCACTCCCCAAAGACACCACCCTCTAACACCATCCCATTGGGGTTTATGGCTTCCACAGACGACGTGTTGGAGGGACACAAGCATTTGGTCCACGCCACTGGGCGATGTGCTCAGCACCCCCTAGAGGTGGTCCCACAGAAGCCCTGGGTCCTCCCTTTCTACCATCTGCCTTTGCCCCACCCCTTCCTCAGCCTCCACTCTCCATCCCTCCCCTCCCCTTCCTACCCAGCCTTTAAATTCAGTGTGAGGTAGGACTTCCCTGGCTGTCCAGTGGTTAGGGCAGGAGGTGCAGGTTCAATCCCTGGTCTGGGAACTGAGATCCTGTATGCTGGTATAAAATAAAATAAGAGAAGAGAAAATCAAATCAGTGTGAGGCTACAACCCTCCCCAGAAGCCTCTAGGACACAAGCTGGGTGCAGAACCTCCCAGGAGCCCCCCAGCCTTGGTGTGCTCCGCCATATTACGGAACATTACACTACAGCTCTCTCCTGCTCTTTGTAAACAACTCTTCTTTCTGTCTCCACACAGCTGGCATCTAGCCTGCCTCTCTGGCTCAAAACAGCTGTGCGTCAAATGTTTGTTGAATGAATGCACGATCTCATCTGATGTCCCACACTGTGGAGCTGGAAACTCTGGAATTTATAAATCTGGTGCTTCCACTGCTGCATAGCACAGGGACATCAGCTCGGGGCTTCGTGACCACCTAGAGGGGTGGGATAGGGAGGGTGGGAGGGAGACGCAAGAGGGAGGAGATATGAGGATATACATATATGTATAGCTGATTCACTCTGTTATACAGCAAAAACTAACACACCATTGTAAAGCAATTATACTCCAATAAAGATGTAAAAAAATTAAAAAATAAAAGAACCTACTGTATAGCACAGGGAACTCAATACTCTAATGGTCTATATGGGAAAGGAATCTTAAAAAAAAAAAAGGGTGGATATATGTATATGTATAACAGATTCACTTTGCTGTACACCTGAAACTAACACAACATTTTACGTCTACTATACTCCAATAAAAGTTTAAACAATAAAAAATAAATCTGGTGCTTCCAACCAGTTCTTTTTTTTTTTATTTTTTTAAATTTTACGGAAGTATTGATTTACAATGTTGTGTTTAATTTCTGCTGTACAGGAAAGTGACTCGGTTATACATGTATACATTCTTTTTCGTATTCTTTTCTGTGACAGTGTATCACAGGGTATTGACTATAGCTCTGTGTGCTGTACAGTAGGACCTTGTTGAACCATTCTATATATAATAGTTTGCATCAGATTGTACTGTAATATATATACCGAGATGTATGTAAAATTTATACATTTATATATAAATAATATATATATCGCATATAATATAATTTCTATCTGAAAGGTGTAACTCAGGTGTATGCAATTGGAAACAAGATGCTTCCCTCCACACAGAGGGGTTATTTTCTAGAAGCCTATATCCAGCCACTTCTTACACAGCTCAGGTGGAAAACACGGAGAGAGGGCAGGTGAAATTTGCTTCTCTGGCCCCAGCATCCCCAGCCAGACTGACTGTCCCGGCCACCTACAAAGAAACTGAGGTCCACGAATGCAGCGCGACTCTAAAGGTACAGGGTCTTCAAGTCATAGAAGCAGAGATTAAACATGAGTCTCTACTCTGATCGTTGCCTTGGCGCTCTGCTGGGTCTGGCGTTGGCATTGCCCTGCAGGAGGGTTCTGGGGAAGGACCCCGCACAGGAAGTGTCCTGCCTGCCCCCAGGGTTGGCGCCTTTGATGCTGGTGCATCTCCCATGCCCGCAGCAAGCAGACCTGCCAGACAGGTGTGCCAGCTACCCAAAGCCCAGGACACCCATTGGTGCGGGGCAGCCACCTGTTTACCCAGCATCCTGAGGCTTTTTGGCAGCGTAGCGCAGGGAGGCGGGTTCCCCAGGACGCCCTTCAGCATGCAGGCACACGCCTCACGGGCTCCAGGCCGTGCGCTTTGGAACGCCCAGTGCTTCGGATTCTGGCAGAGGCACTCAAGTTTGGTTCATACTTTCTGCTTGGCGACATTGCCTGTTCCCTTGCAAACTGGGAAGCAAAAGTCAGCACATCCGTCCAGCGAGGGCGAGGTGGCCAGATCGCCCAGCGCGCGCCCTGAAGGTTCACCTGAACGGAAACCGAGGATGGAGCCCTGGTGGGGCGTATTCTACCTCACGTTCCTGTGTTCTCTGATGCACATCCGAGGTAAGGGAGGCTTTGCTCTGGGGAGAGCTGCGTGGGTGTGCATTTCTATCTGGCTGCTTTAAAAAAAAAAAAAAAAAAAAAAAACTCCGCCCCAAACCACTTGCACTCAGGAAATGGCTCTAAGGTGCCAGATTGTAGAAAAACAAAAAAACAGACCAAGTATGATGGCTTTGAGGGGAGAAAAAGGGGCCGGGTACCAATTCAGTGTCTGGGAATTGGATCCAGAAGTGTAGGATGTGGACTCACAGTGCTTAGAAGCGAACTGTTTTTGTGGTCTGCTTTTGATCTCTGTGTGTCACGCGTGGAAGAAAGTGGCCTGTGTTCCTGGGGCGTGTTGGGATTTTTCAGTTCCTTGTTTTCGATTTAAAATATCAGTGCTGGGGCTTCCCTGGTGGCGCAGTGGTTGAGAGTCCGCCTGCCGATGCAGGGGACGCGGGTTCGTGCCCCGGTCCGGGAAGATCCCACGTGCCGCGGAGCGGCTGGGCCCGTGAGCCATGGCCTCTGGGCCTGCGCGTCTGGAGCCTGTGCTCCGCAACGGGAGAGGCCACAGCAGTGAGAGGCCCCCGTACCGCAAAAAAAATAAATAAAATAAAAATAAAAATAAAATAAAATATCAGTGCTGCGTTTCTGTATGGGGACAATGGAACTGAGACAGCTTGGTTCTGTGGGACTGATCACCCAAGATTGGGTTTGCTGGAAGGGCAGCCTCCGTTCAGGTTTTTAGACATTTCTCATCAACGTCACCCCTCCTGTTGGCAAATTAAAAGCATATGAATTGTTTACGCCCCAAACTTCCATACAGGCTCTTCTGGTGATGCCAGGATTTTGGTTTGTCGGGGAGCAGAGGTGGGGAGGGACCTAGTTTGGGAGCTATAATTTACCCATGACATGTAGGATTTAACCGCAATTGGATAAGCTCCTTTGGTCCTTATTTGAATTTTAAGAGATGGAGGCCCAGGCAGGATTTAAGAGTGAGAAGTGTTGTAGGTTAGGAATTTAAAGGATTTCATTTGGATGGCGCTCTTGTGACATTTCCTGTTTATCGTGTTTGAGGATGGTTGTTTAGGGGCAGATGTTTTGTGAGACATCCTGGCACCCAGAGCCCAGGATCTTCCCCGAGACCCCTCCAGGAATCCTTGCTGTCTGCACATCGTGCCCCCCGGCACGTGGGTCACACAGAAACGCAGTCCAGGCGCTTCTGTTTGCAGGGAGATGTTAGTCCCTGAACTGACGCCAGGGCTGAGAAGAGCAAGAGAGCAGAGCTCTGATTCTGCACAGACCCGCCCAGAAGCCAAGCCAGCAAAACCTGTCTGAGCGTTTATTGCTGCTGCTGCTGCTGTGCACACAGTAGGAGCTGTGGGTTTACCTTCGGGCTCAGGCAACTCAGCCTCCTACCAGTCACGGTCGGGTTGCTCCTTTGGGGATAATGGGATGTCAGATTCTTTCAGCGTATCACGTGGCTCATCATATGTGCTGGGGAAACTTGTTGTGGATTTAACCGCTGTTCTTCAGAAGAGAAAGAAATGCAGGAGCCGGCCCTGGCTGATGTTAGCTGAGTGCTTCCGAGGATGCCCAGGTTACGTTCTTTTGATGAGGGTGTGACTTGAGACAGGCTCTGCGGGTGTTAATCAAGTTCATTCTCACACAGCCTTGGGCTGGGGCTGCCAGGCTTGATGCACTTTTTCTTTCTTTTTAAATATGTTTCCTTTTTTGATCTAACACGGAACTTTGTTTTTTCTTTTTGAAGATGATATTATTTTATTTTATTTTTGGCCATGCCGCACAGCATGTGGGATCTTAGTTCCCTGACCAGGGATTGAACCCGTGTCCCCTGCATCCCTGCATTGGAAGCGCAGTCTTAACCACTGGACTGCCAGGGAAGTCCCTTGATGCCCTTTTTTTTAATGCCCTCTTATAGGTGGGTACACGGAGGCACTGAGGTGTTCCATCATTTGTCTGAGGTCACATTGCTGGGAACATGCACAGGCAGGAGAGGTGCGAGGTGGGACGGGAAAGGTAGTGAGGCCTGGATCAGGGTGCGTTGGTGTGAAGACGTTGTGCAGCTGACCTGAGTCCTGGGTAGTTTGTTAAATGCATGGACCACCCCCTCACACCCCAAACCACCAGCAGCTGTCGGCGTGAGCGAGTTCACGAGATCCCCAAACACTTCCTGCAAGGCTGTCAAGATGCTTGTTACCAAGGCTCTGGAAAAGCAGACTATCACTATGGTGAACGTCACTTAACCGTTCTTATAATGACTAAACTGTGTGTATAAAATAAAATAAGAATTTGATTATAGTCCTGAGGCATAGGGGTTTACAATTCGGCGGTTTCAGATTTCCAGTGTATTGAATTACCTTTCGCTATCAAACCTGGATGCACTTGAAGGACCAGGAGACCAAGTCAGGTCTTCGAAAAGCTGATAGAAGCAGAAATGGAAACTCCAGGGGCTGCTTGTCGTGCTTGGTTTGTTGAGAAAAAAATCTGTCTGCCTTTCTATCTACCTACCTACCTATCTATCTTCTGTCTATGTATCTGTCTATCAACTATATAATATCTATCAACTATCTATCTATCTACCTACCTACCTATCTATCATCTATCTATCAACAATCTAACATCTATCAACTATCTATCTACCTACCTATCATCTATCTATCAACTATCTAACATCTATCAACTATCTATCATCTAGCTAGCTAGCTATAATACAGGTATAACTCTAGATTTTGTATATATATATATATTTCCTTATATTCCCTTTTTTCCTGTATATCTATTGTACCCTGGGTATACATTACCATTTTCCTGTATCTGTATTATACAGTGGTTCTGAAATCCCCTTCTACATGTATTATATCTTCTCTTATCAGACAAGACTAAACATCTGTGTGTGCTTAAACAGAGCTCCTTTTCTACCTACAAACTAAAAAAGTACCGGCATCCCTTGGTATTTGAGGGGGATTAGTTCCAGGACCCCCTGGGACACCAAAATCCATGGATGCTCAAGTCCCTTATATAAAATAATGTCATATTTGCATATAACCCATGCACTTCCTCCCGTAGACTTTTTTTTTTTTTATAAATTTATTTTATTTAGTTAGTTTTGGCTGCGTTGGGTCTTTGTTGCTGCGCGCGGGCTTTCTCTAGTTGAGGCGAGTGGGGGCTGCTCTTCATTGCGGTGCCCGGGCTTCTCATTGTGGTGGCTTCTCTTGCTGCAGAGCATGGGCTCTAGGCACGCAGGCTTCAGTAGTTGTGGCACGCGGGCTCAGTAGTTGTGGCTCGCAGGCCCTAGAGCGCAGGCTCAGTAGCTGTGGCGCACGGGCTTAGTTGCTCCACGGCATCCCGGACCAGGGCTCGAACCCATGTCCCCTGCATTGACAGGCGGATTCTTAACCACTGTGCCACCAGGGAAGTCCCCTTACTGTAGACTTTAAATCATCTCTAGGTGACTTATCATACCTAACACCGTGTAAATGCTATGTGAATAGTTGTTGTCACATGACAAATGCTAGTTCTGCTTTTTGGAACTTTCTGGAATTTTTTAAAATTTAATTTTGTTTTTGGTCTTGAGGCATGTGGGATCTTAGTTCCCCAATCAGGGATCATATCCATTCCCCCTGCAGTGGAAGTGCAGAGTCTTAACCACTGGACTGCCAGGGAAGCCCCAGAAATTTTTAATATTTTATTTTATTTTATTTTATTTTATTTATTTTTATTTTTTTAACATCTTTACTGGAGTATAATTTCTCTACTTTGTCACAGCCTACCCTTCCCCCTCCCCATATCCTCAAGTCCATTCTCTGGTAGGTCTGTGTCTTTATTCCTGATGTGTGAGCCATTCAATTTTTTTTTTAACATCTTTATTGGAGTATAATTGCTTTACAGTGGTGTGTTAGTTTCTGCTGTATAACAAAGTGAATCAGCTATACATATACATATATCCCCATATCCCCTCCCTCTTGCGTCTCCCTCCCTCCCACCCTCCCTATCCCACCCCTCTAGGTGGTCACAAAGTACCGAGCTGATCTCCCTGTGCTATACGGCTGCTTCCCACTAGCTATCTCTTTTTCGTTTGGTAGTGTATATATGTCCATGCCACTCTCTCACTTTGTCCCAGCTTACCCTTCCCCCTAAATTTAATATTTTTGGTCCATGGTTGGTTGAATCTGCAGTGTGGAATCCGCAGATACGGAGTTCTGACTGCAATAAAAACTGATAGTGATATTCTTTATAGTTTTTTAACAGCAGCCCATCATGGTTCTGAGTACTTGCTGTTGAATAAAAGTAAGTCAGGTGCTGAGCGAGGTATTTTAGGTTGGTTGCTGCCTTCAGATGCGGCAGGATGTTTGGGCTTTGCTTCTGAGAATGGTGATTTGGAGAAGTCGTGATACTTGCCCAAGGCGTTAAGCCAGCCCATGTGATGCTACCAGACTCCAGCCCTCTCTGGCCTCACCCCACAGCCCTGAGTTGAGTCTTTCTGGAGTCTGCCTCTTTCCTCATGTCCCCCAACCTCCCTTTGATCTAACCAATCTCGGGGTGTTCAAGTCACCCCACGAGCTGGTCATTAAAACTGCCCTTGTCCCATGCCCGTCTGTGGAACTGAACCTGCCCAGCTATTCAGGGCAGTGATTCTCAGCACTTGATGTGCAGACGAATTACCTGGGATGGAGCAGGTTTAAAGGCACCACCTGAATCCCAGACCCTCAAGATCTTCATTAGGTAGGTGGGTGTGGTGCTGGGGAGCCAGGGTACCTGCATTTCAGGAAGCACCCTGGTGACGCCCATGCTGGAGTGAGGGCTCCCTTGAGAGGTGATATCTGAGCATCTGACCATCTGATTTAAACCTGGGGCTGAGCCTCTTGGGTCTCTGCCACCGTGGGGGCCTCTGCTCCGTGGTTCCTGACTCCGTGATGCATCCCTCACCCAAAAGGTGCATATGTCAGGAGAAACCAGAGACTGGAATGGATTTGGTGACACAGCTGTTCCAGGAGGAGACG